CAAGGCGGGACGCGGCGCCTGCGCGGGCTGGGCCCGGGAGGGGGCGCGCGCCAGGCCGGGCGCGAGGAGCCGCGGGAGAAGGGGCGGGGGGCGGGGGCGACGCGCGCCGCCTCCTGTTAAAGGGGGAGCAGCGCCAGCCGAGCCGAGCGCACCCTCCTCCTCCCTGCCCTGGGCCCCAGGCGCCGGCGCGGGAGAAGCCCCGGGTAAGCCCCCGCCCCGCCCGCGGCCTCCTGGACCGCAGGATGCGGCGATCCGCGACGCCCCTCCAGAGATCCCCCGGGCCGGAGGCAGCTCTCGCAGCCGGGGTCTCTGGGGCCCTGGGGGCTGAAACATTTGCCCCACCCTCCCCCGTATGCACTGCAAATCGCATATCCCTGTGCATGCAGGTGCCACTCCTGTGCGCTGAACTTTGCATATGCTTATGCACACAGGTGCCCTACGTGTGCACTGCAATGTTGCCTGGCTCCGTGCATGCAGTTGCTACACACACACTCAGCGTGTTAACATGTGTTCAGGTCTTGAATGCATGTTGCTTGTTCCTGTGTGTAGAGATGCTGTATGTGTGCAAGCTTATAAGTGCCACATATGTGCTGAGTGCTGTGGGTCACCTGTATGTAGGAGCCACACATGTACGCTGCAGTGTGGCATGTTTGGTGCATACTCTAGTGTGAACTGCAATGTTGCATGTCCCTAGGCACGGGGATGCTACACGTGTGCAGTGTGTTACATGTTTTCCTGAGCGCCTGTCTATTCCCACAAGTGCCTTTTCCTGTGCCAGGGGCGCCCCCATGTTGCATCTGTTTGTGTAGAAGCAGCCGGAATGTACAGACCTGCCCCCTCCCCATCCTGGCACTGTGCAGTTGGGTGGGGCCAGAGCCCACATGGTGAAGGTGGTTCCCAGGGAGATGCCCATGGCTCAGGGCCCTGGTCTGGTGGTTTTGTGGCCTGGGCATGTTGCCACCAAGAAGGTGGGCAGACCAGGGACACGCCACTTCGGCCAGAGACAAGTAGGTTAATCAGATGGCTCTGGTCAGAGGAGGAGCCAGCAGGGGGCAGCTTTGCAGGGAGCATTTGGATGGTTTCAGGAACCCTACTTTTTAAAGGTGCCCTGGCCAGGAGGGGGCTGAGCCTGGGAGGCAAGGAAGTCCCCAGTCCGTCCAACCCCAACCCCACCTCTCCACTGAAGCCCCTTGAGTTGTGTCACCCTGAGGACTAGGACAAGGAGACACCTCGTCCCCCAGGAACGTCCTGCCAGGAAGAGGCAGAGAGAAAAGCCCCTGATCTCTCCCTCCGTCTCTCTCTCCCCCCTCCAGCAGTCTCGATGACATTTGTTGTGAGTGATTGTGAGAGATTATCGACTTTAATGGAAGGAGGTAATAAGGGGCGATGAAGGAATCTCACCCGTCACCTTAAGGGAATTTATGAGGCTGTGTGAGACAGGGAGGAGGCTGGCACCTTTCCTTTCCCAGCGGGAGCCCAGGGAGGCCTATGCCTTACACTTAGCACTGGCAGGCAGGGCTCCTGGGTTCTTGCCGGGCACTCTCAAACACCCCAGGTCTCTGGGTTTGGAGACTCAGCCGCTACTGTGAAAGCCAAGCCAGGCAGAACTTGCCATCTACAGAGCGTGTCAAGAGCCACCCCAAGGGGGGCGCCTGGGTGGCGCAGTGGGTTAAGTGTCCGACTTCAGCCAGGTCACGATCTCACGGTCCGTGAGTTCGAGCCCCGCGTCAGGCTCTGGGCTGATGGCTCAGAGCCTGGAGCCTGTTTCCAATTCTGTGTCTCCCTCTCTCTCTGCCCCTCCCCCGTTCATGCTCTGTCTCTCTCTGTCCCAAAAATAAATAAACGTTGAAAAAAAAAATTAAAAAAAAAAAAAAGAGCCACCCCAAGGGCAGCGGGAGATCCCAGGTCTCCCTACGTGGGGCATTTCGAAGGGCAATGGCGTGGCCAAAGTGGATGCCTTAAGGAGGTGGGCAAAGGTGGAGAGAGTGAGTGAGTGGTCGGATATGAGGTATGCACAAAGGTATAAGGACAGGTCCTCAGAAGCTCCCAGGACCCTGTGCTCCAGGGCTCCAGCCCCTTCCACTCCCACAGGGAGCCTGCCTCCCTCTTTATGAATATTCACTGAATTAGCGTACTAGAGACCCAGAGCCCAAAGAAACACAGGCAGGTCTCTTGCAGATGTAACGCAGCTGGATCCCTGAGGCCCTCCCTTTCCCCCCCCCACCCAGGATCCAGCTGGGTACAGGGTAATGGGAGGGGCTGGAGAGACAGCAGCATTTTGTCTGTTTCGTGTTCCTTGGTAGCCCTCTGACTTCTCAACCCCGTTCTTTCAGGGTGGAAAGTCTTTCAGACTGAGGGAGAGACTGACAGTGATGGTACCCCATACCTGGGGGCTCAAGGCGCAGGGTGGCGAGGTCAGCAAGGCAGCAAGGGCTGTGGGAGCTGGGTGGAGAGAACAGATCTCCCAGGGCGTGTGCGGAAGCAGGCTAGATTAGGGCCAGCCTCCCGAAGGCTCTCCCGGAGGTGCCTCCCGGCTTCTTCGGGGCTTCCCCACCTCCTTTCCCAGGAGCCCCTGCCCTTCCAGACTCACTCTGGTGATAATGCCGCCCGGGAGGACTTGGAGTAATTACAAATCGTTTCCATATTCAAATCCAGCTGGTTGAAGAGAAATTACTTCTCTGACAGCCCAGGCGGGGGTGGGAAGAACAAGTCTAAGCCCCAGGAGGGGCCTCTGGGGAGCCTAGGGCAGAGACTGGGCAAGGGAAGGGGCACCAGTCAGAGCTTGAGCACAGAGGGTTTAAGCAGAAGAAATGGATACTTCCCGCCTACCCCTCTCCCCAAAACAAAAACTGGGCAACAGACAATGACCCCAGTCCTTTGGAGCTCCCACTGGAATCTCTGATGGCATGGAGAGGACCAATCCTACAAGGACAACTAGAAGTCAGGCTCTCATCCTGCCTCCCTAGGCGACCTTGAAAAAGTCCCTCCAGCTTTCTGAGCCTCTGTTTCCTTACCTGTGAAATGGTATAAATGATGGCACCCAGCTCCAATGAGATAAAAGATGTGCATTATAGCAAGAGCTAGGCTCCTGAAAGGGGCCTTTTAAAATAATTGTCTTATTACCAATTAATTCATCTTTTGGTTAACAATAACAACCACCAGTGGCCCATTCCGGAAGCAGCACAGCCCTCAGTGGGGCAGCTTAGGAGAGGATAGTGGGTGATGAGGGCACGCATAACCCTGGCCTCACGGGCCTGGCCTCACCCGCCTGGCCTCAGCCCTGCCTCCCACTGGGCCAGCCACTGCTATGCTTCGTTGCCCTTTAAACAGATGAGAAAATGCTCTTCTTCTCTTCCCAATGATTTATTTGGCCCAGAGCCTGGTCAGGTTTCCTTCTAGCTGGTGGGACCTAAGAGTGCCCCTCCCTCAGCCCCTACCCTCCACTGACACTCAGCCAGGCGCCCACAGCAGCCCAAAGCTCTGAGTACCAAGGTCCCCCTTGAGTCCCCCAACCCCACCCCAGATACCTATCAGGAGCTCCTAACATGTTCCCAAAGACACCCAAATCCATGTGACAGTCTTCTATCAGGGTCTGTCCCAGAGCTCACGGGATACATACCTCATTGCTCTGGATGTCATGGATTCAGGAGGGGTATCCTGGAAAAGGTGGACTGACCCTCTCTGTCTGTGGGAAGTCCTGCATGTCTAATTTCCATCCTTCCTGCTGCAGATGCCAAATGGGTTAGGAGCCTGGGGCAACCCAGGTCGGGTGTGTGTCATTTTCTCGGTGCTATAGATCAAGGAGAGGAGGGAGGATTAGCAGCATTGGAGGCAAATCCTCCCAGAAGGTCAGTGCCGGGTTTGCGCGCACCCCTCTGGGCAGTGCCTGCATTCTCTGACCCCTGGGGCAGTGGGTGGAGAAGACCTTTAGGATCTTGGGTGATCTTCACACAAGTCTTACACTGGAGGATGCGCACAAGAGCCTGGCACCCAGAAGGTGCCTTTGCTCACCCATTCAACGAATCTTTATTGAGTGTTTACTATGTTCTAGGCGCTGGGATCCAGGCCATCAGCAAGTTCCGTTGCTTCTACCTTCCAAAACATCCCAAATCGATGCCCTCCTGACATCCCCACTGCCAACACCAGAATCCAAGCCACCATCATCCAGTGCCTGGACCTTCCTTTATTTGACCTCCATGCTCCCACATCTACCTCACCCTCCTCCACTCCATTCTCCCGGAGCCCACTGAGTCATCTCTCTAACTTGTAAATCAGAGCACCTCTTCTTAAACCCTCCCATGGTTTCCTACTGCACTTAGCACCATGACCTTCCAAGCCCTGCATGACCCGGCACTTACCAACCTCTCCAGAACCATCTCTCCTACCCCCAACCTTCGCCCCATCCCAACACAGTGGGGGACTTTGACAAAGTCCAAATCCTTCTTCCACTAGTACTTGCCGTGGCTGACTCCACTTGCCAGGAAGGTCTGAGTACCAACATCACCTCCTCTAGGAGGCCTCCCCTGATTACGCTTCTAAAGCAGCCCTACCCACCCATCCCCGATTGTTCCATCCCGTGGCTTTGCACTTCCTTCACAGCATCATTACCTGAAAATATGTTATCTATTTACACACAAGTCATCGGTTTCCCTCACTGGACTAGGAATTCTGTAAAGGCAGAGACCTTGTCCATCTGTTCATGTTTGTAACCCTGGCACAAAGCACCATGCCAGGCATGTGATAGGTGCTTGTCAAGGGAAGGAATGGCGAAAGGGCAAGTAAAGACCCTGCCCTCCCAGAGCTTCCAGTTTGTGGTCCTTGATCAATGTCCAATAAAACACTGTTCAACCGTTTCCCACGTGATGGACTAGAAAGGACTTCTGCCTCTGTCCCTCACTGGCTGTGTGACCTGGGACAGGTCATGCATGCTGCCCAGGCCTTGGTTTTCTCTTCTGTAAAATGGAAACAACCTAGCAGAGCTGATGTGAGTCCCCATGAGATGACAAAGATGAAGCGCCCCACACAGTGCCAGACCCAGGGAGGTGTCATCTGCATGAATATGGCCCTCTTTCAGACTTATTCAGGGCTGCAGCTGTTCTGCATTCTGAAGACATGGAGAAGACTCGGAATGGGGCCCTGACCTTGAGGCCTTCCCGGTGCCCCCTCCCTCCCACCTAGGGAGAGAGGAGTTCTTATCTGCTGAGATCCTTGCTGTGACAGAGGCCACCTGTGTAATCAGGACGGTCGCACCGGTGAGTGGGTGATCACTGCAGAGAAACTGAGTCTGGATCCACTTCGCGGTACCTCCTCTCCTTATGTCGCAGCCCCTCTTCGTTTTCCGCCTTCCTTGTCTGTGTAAACACATGCACACACACACGGATGCATGTACAGACAAACCCATATCCACACACTTACACAATCACCGGCCAGCAGACACATACCCTTGACTAGGAAACACAGGTGTATACATAACCACACACACACAACCCCCCTCCACTTTTCTGGCCCAGTGGGGACCTGTCAGACTCATCTATCAGTCCTGTTGCCTCCTGCTCTAGGCTGGGGTTAGGCACAACCCCTGCAGGTTAACAGGAGGCAGCGTGGGGACTCCCTTTGGTAAGTTCTCCTTGAGGTCTAATCCCACTCTCGCCTGCTGCAGACCTTAAGGACTGGGAACCCTGGCAACCACTCCGGACACCCAGAAATGACAGCACCATCCCTTGTGCCCACACCCACAGGCTGGGGGACATGTAGAGGGTGGAGGTGCCTGAGAAGAGCTGCTCCCAGCTTCCTGCCCCGGTGGGGGGAAAGGGAAGGGGAATCCCTCAAGGAGGGTCTGGGGCACTTGGCAGGCATGGGGCACACCAGCAGTGGGGGGCCAGTGTGTTCCCACCATCTGGGATGCCCCATGTTCTCTCCCCCGGGCTCTTTGCCACCTGGATCCAGCTGGACTGGGCTTGTGCCAAGCAGGACACATTGAGCATAGCAGGCAGGGGTGGGGGTGACCTAGAGGTCTAGAGGGACCAGCTCATCCTGTCGAGCCCCTCTGTGGGCCTAACACTGTGCCTCCTGCTTTTAACTTATTGTCACAACAAACCCTTACCCCAGCAAGGTCACCCCCATTTCCCAGATGAGGAACATGGCTTAGAGGGAGGCAGAGAGAAAACCAGAGCCCCCCCCCCCCACTTCATTCAGTAGGGCCCTGCCTAGTCTCACTTCTCCTTGTCCTCCTTGCCACCCTCCAAAGGACAGACCAAGCGCCAACTGTGGAAAACAACTTCTTTCAGGATTGGAGCTGATCTTCCAGAGAGAACTAGCTCTCTCAGGGTGAGAGATGTGAAGGGACCTGACACCCAGGGCCTGGCCCGTAAGAGGCTGAAGCCGGACACCCAGATTTGGGGGAGGCAAACAGAGTGGCTGAGGGTGCTGGGAAGGACCTCTCACAGGATCTGCTGAGACGGACGCACCTTGCTGGCAGGCACAGCCACACTCCTCGCCGACACACCCCAGGAGGACAACCCTCTTGCTGGAACACACACTGCCTCGTGCTGTAAAGCAGTAAAGCAGTCACTGCCGAGTGAGCGAGAGGGTGGGCCTCCCATCTCATTCAAACCTGGCACAATTCTGACCTCTTTGGGTCCCAGGCTTGGGGGCCGGGGGCCCGCAGGGGAGAAGGCTCTGAGTGTCGTGGTTGGAGAGGAGGAGCCTCGGGGTGCATCGCCAGCCAGCGTTCTGCATGTCAGAGTGGGAGTGAGTGGGGCTGAGCTCGGGTACACGTGTGGGTGGCTGTGTGCGTCAATGCGTGGGGGGAGAGTCTGTGTGTGTGTATATGATGTGCCTGTGCGCAGGTTTTGTGTGTGTCTGCCTAGGCCTTGTACGTCAGAAGCCCGGGCCTGGCTCCGGGATCTCTCCTGGGTGTGCGCGCGTGTGTGTGTGTCTTTGTATGCAGGCTGTGTGGTGTTTCTCATGCGTTTATTTTTCTGTTTGTGTACATGTGTGGCGTATAATGCACACAAGTGCCTGACGCTGGGGTTTGTTTCTCCACTCAGTGTCTAGGTGAATGTGGGGCGTGTTGACAGGGCTGGGTTTACTGCTGGAGTCTGTGTGCCACCAGTGTGTGGGGTTTCTTTGTAGTTTGTGCCCGAGCCTGTGCGTGCGCGCGCGCGCACGTGTGTGTGTGTGTGTGTGTGTGTGTGTGTGTGTGTGTGTAGGGGAAGTGTTTCCAGGCCTGTGTCTGGGCCTTTCGGTTCAGTGTGAGTCAGGGCATATGGCATGTGCAGGCCTGTATGTGACTGTGTCTGTGTCAGTGTTTGGTAGGTGTCCGTGCCAGCCTGTCATGTGTTTCCCTGTGTGTACTTGGGGGTTGTGGGCAGGCCTTCAATTCGGGGGGTGGGGGGGTGGGCATTGTGTGTAATACTATTTGGTGTGTGACTCTCAGTGGTTGTGACCCTGGATGTCCTATACGTGTGTCTAGATGTGGGGTGTGGATTATTGTGTAGTGTGTATCCGCAGAGCTGTAGGTGTGACATTTGTTATTCTTGTCTTTGGGGACTTTTCAAGCTAATGCTTCCCAGGAAGTCTCCTCCTCCCCCAAAGGCTGAGATCTCGGCCATGCTCTGCGCTCCCAGGCATCTTGGCCGGCTCTGTGTTTGCCTTGGGGGGGGTAGGCGGGGTGTGCTGAGAACCCTGAAACTGCCGGCCAGGGGTCAAGGTCGCATGTCAGGAAGCACAGGGCTCTTTCTCCTAGGGCGCCCCAGGACCCCCTCCTTTCCCCTCCTCACTCACAAAGGGCCCTACGGGTGAGGCCACCGCATGCCCCCCCCCCTCCCGCCCTGCCCAGGTCTCCCCTGAAATGAATTTTAATTTCCGCTCTGGGCAGGCGGCCGTAATGAGGCTTGAACCAGCAGGGCGGCGGCGGAGGTGCGGGGGCTCGGGTTGCCAGCTGAGGAAGGGAGGCGCGGATTTGAATTTCAAAGGCAGCTGGGGCCCAAGTGCGTCTGCGTCGTGCGATTGTGTGTGTGGCGCTGGTGGGTCCGCCAAGGCGCGCCTGCGTGTGCGGCGTGTGTCTGGGTGAGCGTGTTTAGTGAGTGTGCCTCTGAAAGGCGTGTTCGAGGCCCCGCGTGGTCTGCAAGCGCGAGTGCCTGAGCCTCCGGCGGTCTCTGCCACCGTGAGAAGGGCCACGGCAGCGTGTCCGCGTGTCTGTGCGTGTGCTTGTGGGCAGATGCTTGCATCTGGGAGTGTGTATTTTTAGGACGGGTCGGCACCACCGTGTGTGCGTGTGTGTCCGTGCTCCGGGCCCTGCGTGTGGCTGCGAGGGTGGCCGCAGTTTTGGGCGCTGGTGCCTGTGTCACCGCGTGGACGTCCGCAGGGGTGTGAGGGTGTGTCCGTGTGTCCGTGCCACGTGTGAACGCGCGTTTGCACCTGTGAGTCCGTGTGGGCATCTGTCTATAGGAACGCGTGTCTGAGAGTCCCCGCGTCCCAGCGTTGAGTCTGCGAGTGTGCCCGTGCTTCTGCGCGCCGGGGGTCTGTGTCACCGTGCGTCTGCAAGCGCTGGCGCCGGCGAGAGTGGGTGTCTGCGCGAGCACGCAGCGGGGCCGGCGCCGGGGCGGGGGAAGCGGGGAAGGGGAGCCCGGGGAGAGCGCGCCGCCCCCCGCCGCGCCCCCACAGCGGGAAGGGGGGAAGGGGGGAAGGGGGACCCGACCTGCGGGTACTTAACGGGCTCTCCGGAGGCAATGGCCGGAGAGGATGGGCCATTAGCCGGAGGGGCGGAGCGGCACCCGTTTCACGCTCGCTCTTCCGAGGGCCAGGGCGTGGGGGCAGCTCATCTGTCTCAGGGAAACGGGCGTGCGCCGCGGAGAGATCGCCACCGCCTTGTGGCTGCACTGGGGACTCAAGCTACAGAGCAGGAAGGGCCGCCGGGGCCCCAACAAGGTACCATCTCCTAAGAGGCACCCATGGACACTAACTCAGATACACCGGGGCACATTCCCAGGCACACCTGACACACACAAGAGCGTGGGCCAGGCTGCTGTCACCCAGCTCAGGGGTCAGGCCCACTGGTGCGCACCCGGGAATGCATGCATGTGAACTGAGCATGTGCGCATGCACACACGTGCACACACGCGCACACACACACATCCAGAGACACAGGTAAGTTCTCACACTCACTGGAACAAACTCACCCCTCCCTGGGTTTTGGGCCCTGTGGGGCAAAGAGGGCTAAAGTTCAGAAGTCCTAGAGAAAAGGGGTAGCCTGAGTCACTTCATGTTGCCTTTACTCTGTCAGGCCCTGGGTTGGACCCTGACAGGATGCCTCACCCTGCATCATATCTCCCAGAAGCTGGGGCGGAGGTGGGGGCACAAAGACCCCAAATACAGTTATTCCTGGTCATTGCTGTAAGGTGCCCACAGCCAGAGGCAGGTGAGAGCCCGGGGCTGCCTTCTCATGGGAGGTCCCCTAGGGTCCTGGCTGGAACAGGCAGGCGCTGTCAGGATACCCAGATGACAACAAATTAGGAACTAGGGATGGGATGATGGTTTCAGTCCTCCTTCTCCACAAGAATGACAGCATTTTGAGAAGGGGTAGGGACTGACTCCTCTCAGGAAGGCTCAGCCGGGGGCCTGGCACCAAGGGCCTACTCCAAAAACACTACTGACTGAATAAAGAAAAGAAATAAATGAGTTAGAGAATGTAGAGGACCACCTAAGGGCTGAGGGAGCAGCATACAGAGGCAGAAATAGTATATCTGCATGGCTCTCTGCATGGCCGTGTGTGTGTGTGTGTGTGTGTGTGTGTGTGTGTTTCAGGGGAGAATATGGGAAGCTGGAGGTTAGGCTGGAAAGACATCACCGTGGGCCTGGTAAGCTAAACCAGACGTAGATTTTATTCTCAAAACAACAGAGTCCTATGGAGGGTTTTGGACGGGAAAGAATCACAGTCAAATTTGTTTGGGAGAAATAGCTGGGCCACTGCAAGGTGGATTTGAGGAAGCCAGGACTGGAGAAGGGGGCTAAGCTCATTCACTTGTTCATTTATTCATTCAACAAGTATTTACTGAGAGCTTACTATAAGGGTCTAGCCGTGGGGTGCCCAGGTGGCTGTGTCGGTCGAGCCTGCGACTCGATCTCAGGGCCATGACTTCAGGCCACACGTTGGTGGTGGAGCCTACTTAAAAATAAATACATAAGGGGCGCCTGGGTGGCGCAGTCGGTTAAGCGTCCGACTTCAGCCAGGTCACGATCTCGCGGTCCGTGAGTTCGAGCCCCGCATCAGGCTCTGGGCTGATGGCTCAGAGCCTGGAGCCTGTTTCCGATTCTCTGTCTCCCTCTCTCTGACCCTCCCCCATTCATGCTCTGTCTCTCCCTGTCCCAAAAATAAATAAACGTTGAAAAAAAAATTAAAATAAATAAATAAATAAATAAATACATACATAAAAGTGTGTGGCGCTGAGGGAGTGAAACGGATACAATCTAGGACCTCAAGGAATTTCTAGAACCTGACCACATACTTGCTGAGCTTATGGTGAGTTTACCTTCTAGTGGGGGAGGGGAGGCAGACACAAAAGCATAAATATGTGGAATGTTAGTGTTGGGGAGTCCAAAGAAGGAAAATAGTGTTGGGTAAGGAGGCAGGAGTGGTAGAGGAGAACAGGGGGCGATTTTAGGAAAACGCTTCTCTGAGACGGTAGCATCCGAGCAGAGACCTGAAGGAGGGGAGGAATGCGTGGAGAAGAGCGGCCCGAATGGGGGAAAGTGTAAGTGCAAAAGGTCCTGAGGGGGCGTGTGCCATTTACTCAGATGGGGAAAGACTTGTGGGAAAGTGGATGATTTCTATTTTGGACGTGCTGCATTGAGGTGCCTTCAGGACATCCAGGGACAGTGACCAGGAAACAGGAGAGATGTGGGTAAAGATCGAGACTGGCGAGAAGGGAAGCTTGGGTGCTGCTGCAGTAGGAGAGATTAAGTGTAGCCGGCAGGGAGGAGAATGGGGAGGCAGCCCAAGGTGTGAGAGTCGGTTCTGGGGAGAATGGCTGCTAGGGTGGGGAGCAGGGATGTGGAGCATGTGACCAAAACGGCACCCCTAGAATGGTCCTGGTCCTAGCTTCCCCTCCTTCCCATCCCCCTGGGGCCACAGCCTCTCCGCCCTTGCCGGTCTACCCTGCTGCCTGGGAGAGAGCCAGGGTAACAGGCTAGGTTGCAGACAGGAGCCCCTTTCTACAAGGAAGTCCCCTGAGCAGCCTCTGCCCCTGTCCTGGCCATCAGAGCCAACCTGTCCCCCTTTAGTGCTTCTTTCCTCTCACTTGAGGATGAATCCTCAAGTAACTCTGCAGCCCCCAGAGCAGGAATTAGTCCTGAGGAACAGGGGAATCTGGACTGAGAGTCTGGAGGACCACAGACTTCCTAGATGGCCTCTGAGCTTCCATTTCCCCCTGCGTGGGATCTGGAGGGACAACATCCTAGCAGGACCTTTCCAGCCCTAACAGGATCAGAATTTCTGAGGCTCTTTCATCACGTTTCCGATGATGTTGTTCGTGTGTTATTAACTGTTTCACAGCTGGCTCTGGGGAGGAAGTGGGGAGGCATAGCCTTGATCTGTAGCAGTTGCCAATTTCGCTGGCGTAAATCCTCCCGCGATGGCCAATGTAGACAACCAACGTGAAGTCAGTTGGCTGGCAGATTCCTGAACATGTAACAATCGGCTCTCATAAACTGGTATGAACTGGTTCCAGCACCTTTGCCAGACACTTTCTGGAGAGATGGAAAAGAGGCACAAAGTCTGGGAGAACTTTGGGGGGGGATCTGCTAGTAGGAGACAAGTCAGGATTTCTAGCCACCCCCATCTTTCCTCTCAACACCCAGGTCATTCCCCAGGGAGGGGCCAGAGCCTCTTGTCTGCCATTGCTCCTCCGACTTTAACCATGTGACATCCTTCCTAGGCCTCTACTCATTGGGTTTCCTACTCAAAAGGTAGACCTGTATCCACAGCCTCACTCACTTTCCACCCCCACCCCCTGCAAAGGGGCACTTTTTTTTTTTTTTTGAAATAGAGGCCAGACAGCATGGGCAATGCCATCCTGACCCACAGCCAGGCTACAGCTGTGGTCAATGTAGACAGGTGACCTGGATATCTGGTCCAGCTCTGCCACCAGCTCCCAGGAGTTTCCTCTCCCAACCTGTCCTCAGTTTCCCCGTCTGTAAGATAGGCAGCAAGTCCTGGCCTCTCCAAAGGCCCTTTCAACGGTGAGATCCTGCGATTTCTATCAGTCCTATCTCAGCCCTGGTGGCAACCCAGGGCCTCCTCTCTCAGAACATTTCCCCAGCCTCCTAGACCCCCCTGGCTCCAGCGGCCCCCCACCACCGCTGGCTCCCCAGGCTCCCCGATAAGGGGCCCAGCTAATTACATTAGGATTTCATGCCAATTAGCAAACAATTACACGGGCAAATTGGTGCCTAATTTGGAGCAATAACGACAGCTCCATTGGCCGAGGCAAGATAGCTGCAGACGAGACCGTTCACCGGGCCTGGTCCCGTCGGAGCCCCTAGAGGATGCGAGCCGCCAGCTCTCTGCCCTGACCGGAGAAGTCTGCAGTTCTCTAATTTAAGGATCTTTAAGCGCTGTTTAGCTGTTTGTGCTGATGACATGGTCCGTCCAGGCCTTTAAACGAAGGATATAGAGGAAGGGGAGGAAAGGTGGATAGTGGGGACAGGGGAGCTGAGGCAGGCGGGGCCGCCTTCACTGAAGAGGTGGGAGGACTGGGGGACAGTAATTAACCGTCTAAAGGCTTGGATGTTTGAGTGGTTCATGTGAGCTCGGGACCAACGGAGACACCAGTTAGGCTAGAGCACAGGCGCACGTAGGGGGGTAGGAGGGCTGAGGCCATAGAGGTGGGTAAGGCCAGGCAGAGAGCACCATTACAGCAAACTGAGGCGTGCTCCCGGAGGCCTGGGAGCCCCTGGGGGTTCAGGGTGGGAGGAGGAGACTGTGCCTGGACTCATCCTGGGTCCTGACCTTGGGTCACCAGCAACCACCCGTCCCACCTACAGCCGCCCCCGTGAGGTCGCCTCCAGTCTCCCCTCTGAACATGGCTAGAAGCCACTGCCCTTGTCCGGGACCACAGAGCTGCCAGCTCTGCCCCTCATCCCCTGTCCATGCTTTCCCCAAGTGAGCATTCTAACGAGCAAAGCAAACCAGATTCCTCATTTGTTTAAACCCTCAATGGTTCCCCAGTGCTCTCGGGATAAGATCAAGCACTCTGCATGCCCTGCCTGTTACCATCTGGCCACTGTGGACCTCCCAGGTTTCCCTCCCTTTCCGCCTGCACAGCCACCCAGCGTTCTGGGAACTAGACCCCGGTTCCCGATTGTGCCAGCCTCTCTCCCACCTCCCGGCCTTTGGCTATGCTGTTCCCTCTGCCTGGATTGCTGTCCCAACACCCCTTCCTTGTTACCCAGGAAGGTCCTTCCAGGGCCCCCTCCTCTGCCTCCCAGATTCCTCCAGGAAGCCCCAATTCTTCTCTCTCCTCTGAGCTCCCTTTGTCACCTTCTTCCGTGGCACTGTTCACTCCACACTGGAGCTGGTGGTATCAGTGCCTGCCTGCTGCTCATGGGCAGGGCCCGGAGCTGATTTACTCTGTGTCATCTTCGTCCGGCATAGAAAGCACATGAATAGAGAAGACAAAGGGAGGAGATTAAAAAAAAAAAAAAAAAAAAAAAAATCCCCTGAGGATGGTGGAGAAACTGAGGCAGAGGCCCAGAGAAATATTTACGAATCTGGTGGATGCTTCACTTATGGAAGGAAAGCTGGGTCAGATTTCAGCCCTCTGTTCACTGGAGCCACGCCCTGACCCCATCCCTCCAGGTTTTCTTCCTGAACACCTTCACAAAGCTCGGAGGACCCCCTCCAGCCCGTTCTTACCCAGCTGTTTTCAGCTCTGCTTTCAACAAATGAGATACAGAAATCCCCGCTAAGCTAAGGATGCCCCTCCCCAATAAAGGCAGCTCTCACGAGGGCGATGGCACAGCAAATGGAACTGCAACACGAAGGACGATGGGCAGACTCAAGGAGGAACCTCCTGACCACCAGGGCTCAGCCCCATCCCTAAAGGAATGGGCAACGGGGAGGGGGGAGGGGGCCTTGGCCTACCTAAAGGAGACTGAGCGGAGGCCAAGGGTGGAATGCAGACCTTCCTGGAGGCAGGGGGAAGACCCAGCTGACTTCCCTGAGAGCTTGGTTCTCCCTTGGGGGGCTGCCACTCCATCTCAAGGCCCATCACTCACGTTAATTACCAAGAAAAAGCCGATTTCTCCTCATTTCCAGACTCCGAATGACAGTATCATTAGGCTTGTAATGTGCAGAGAAATTGTGCGTGTCTGTCTTGGAACATGTCCTGAGCCAGAGTGGGTGAGGGCGCCCCCAGCTAGGGTTTGTCTCCAAGACGTTCCCTACGGCAGAGGGCCAATCTCAGGAAGCGATGCTGTGTCACCAAGGACAAAGGCACTCTCCCTCTCTGTTTAGGGGGCACTAGTGGTGGTGATTACACATACTGGGCAATGGCGTGGGTCACAACACACAACACACAACACACAACACACAACACACAAACCCTGCCAGATGCAAACAAAGCCAGCAGTTCCCTTCTCAGAATTAGACAAGGGCGCAACCCCCCTTGTCCCAATCGAACTTGAACTTAGGCCTGCCTGCTGTCATAGCCCATCCCAATCTTGCCCAGAACCTTTACTCGGACCCATCTCTGGACCACCAGGGCATCTGGGTACCATCTCATCTCTGGGAGCGGGGAGTTGACCATTCTTGCACCTCCCTTCCTCTCTCAGCAAAGCCAACATCCTAAACATGAGCAGACCTCAAACAACAGCCACTGCCCACAGCCCTTTACACACCTCTTCACACTCTTCACTGTGTTTCATCCTCACTCAAATCCACTTAACATGTGAGGAAACTGAAGCCCACACAAGCAAAGTGATTTGCCCAGGTTCACATCTCAGAGGTAAGCTTGACCCCATGTCTGCCCGATGTCAAAGCTCAGGCTGAAGACAAGGGTCTTCGATCCATCTAGTACTCTGGGAACACGTCCTCAGTTGGTCCCTGCTCCCGATACAGAGAATTGGACCCAAATAGGCTCTGCCCTCAAGAGCTGAGGTTGGTGAAGGAGAGGCAGGATGTAAAAATATAAATATAGCTCAGTGCGTTCTGTGCATGACACGAAAGAGAAAATACAAAAGGTTTATCCTCAACAGTAATCAAAGACATGCAAATTAAGACAACAATATGATGTGGTTTTACCTATTGAAATTAATACAGTTTTTTTTTTTTTTTTCTAAAGACAGCGTTGATGTGAACTGAAATCTGGGGCACTCTCAGACTCTGCTGATGGAAGAGTAAATGAGAACAACTTTTCTTACATTTTTTTAAAAGTAGGCTCTACACTCAACGTGGGGCTCGAACTCACAACCCTGAGATCAAGAGTCACCTGCCTTACCAACCGAGCCAGCCAGCCTTCCCCTAGAACAGCGTTTCTAGAAGGCCATTGGGCCATGCTGCCAGGAGTTTTAAAAACACACCCCTTGATCTTGTTAATCTACTTTTAGGAATCCAATCCAAGAAATAACCAGATCCTGAAAAAGAACCATGCATCAGGAATGTTTATTGCCATTATCTATAACTGAAAAATCACAACCAACGTAAATGTCTAGCAGCTGAAGGTTGGTTAAATAAGTTACAATACATCCATATATAAGAATATTATGCAACCATTCAAAGTCATGTTCTTGAAGAATTTTTAATAACCTGGGAAAATGCTCACTCTATAATAAGTTAAACAAAACCATACATATAGGATGCTCTTCACTTCATAAAAAAAAATTAATCAATGGGGCGCCTGGGTGGCGCAGTCGGTTAAGCATCCGACTTCAGCCAGGTCACGATCTCGCGGTCCGGGAGTTCGAGCCCCGTGTCGGGCTCTGGGCTGATGGCTCAGAGCCTGGAGCCTGTTTCCGATTCTGTGTCTCCCTCTCTCTCTGCCCCTCCCCCGTTCATGCTCTGTCTCTCTCTGTCCCAAAAATAAATAAACGTTGAAAAAAAAAATTAAAAAAAAAATTAATCAATTCATTTAAATAAAGTCTGGAAGGAAATAAACCAAGAGTTAATCTGAGAGGGTTTGGGGTGATTTTTTTTTTGTTTCAGTTGGTACTTTTTTGTTTTTTCTAAGTCTCCTCCAAATCTGTGGGGAAAAGTCAAAAAATGCAAGCAATGTAGGGGGGTCAGGTGCAGCCCAGGATGTCATGAGAACACAGAGGTCCCTAATCCTAGTCAGGGAAGGCTTCCTGGTAGAGGTGATGCCTGTACTAACTCTCAGAACACATAACCTTTATTTATCATTCCAAGAGTCAGAAGACTGGTTCTAGGCTAGGAAACCATGTGCAAAGGCATAGAGGCAAGAGAGATCCTGATCTCTTCTGGAAACTCTTAGTTGCTCGTGGGGCTGGGTGAAGGGGCAACAGGTAAACCCCATGCAGTGAGTAGAGACCAGACTGGGGAAAGCCTAGAAGACCGAGCTGAGGAGCTGGTGCTTTGCTCTGAGAACAAAGATCCAAGCAGGGGGTGTAACAGAATCTGAGTTGTGTTTTAAAGGATCGTCATTGTGGCCACTGAATGGAGGAGGGGATAGGGGCACAGGAGAGAGGGCGAGGCTCGACCTGGAGTCTGGAAGGTAGGGAGCGCTGATAGGAGGCTGTTGCATTGCCTGGGTGAGGGAGGGGTCTGGCCCAGGCTGGGTGCGGGTGGCAGAGAGGAAGAGAGGAGGAGCGAGAGCTAGCTAGAGCAGTGATGATGAGATTTGACAGGACTTGGTGATTAATTGGAGAGGGGAGGCCAGGTGGGGGAGGGGAGGCTCTGCCTCTGACAGGGACTACGGCACACACACATACAGGCACACACTCAGAAATTTAGATCACACGGTTTCAGGAGTGAATTGCACCCCCAACCCCCCCCCCTTAGCCCCCCACCCCCCCGCCCGGAGGGTCAGATTTGAGCCTTATTTGATATTTACCTGCAGACCCTAGAAGAGGCTGAACTTGGCCCAGTCACCACACTTGACCTCTGGCTCACCCCGGGCACCCATGTGCCTCTGTACTCCCAGCCTGCACCCCCAGAAAGTGGAGGCGGGCAGGGTGAAGGGAAAGCCCACAGGCAGGGGGGGTGGGCACAGGCAGGAGCAGACAGCCAAATCTTCCCTTGGGACATAATACCGTCACACACATAGACCCAGATCCACAGAGAGAGAGCACAGTCACCCACGGGGACTCTGAGAGTCAAGTCACAGGCAGAGATGTACACAGAGACAGCCTGACGCAGGCTGTTAGACGCAGGCCTGTCGCACACACAGTCACACACCCACCATCAGACAAGCCTCCGACACAGCCCCAGACAGGTCTCACACTCAGGCCCTCGGGCTCAGCTAGAGTCCCCAGGTCCTCCGCCCGCTCCCCCCCCCCCCCCCCCCGCCCCACAGCCGTCCTCCCTCCCCAGGGGGACAGACAGAGGGCTGGCAGAGGGGCCAGCAGAGGGGACTGGCACAGGGACCAGCAGCCAAACGGGGCAGCCGGGAGGGAGGCCTCTGAGAAGGGGTTGCCAAGGCAACAGGCTCCTGTACAACCAACCAGGAGCTTAGATTCTCGGCTCTTATTTTTAGAAGTTGGGCCTGGGCTGGTTGGGCCGGCCAGCGGGCCTGGCTCCCTTGGGCAGGGCCTGAAGATATAGACACCAGCCTCAGCCCCCCCGGGGGGTTCTGGTGGGCACTGCCCATGCCAGGCTTCTTCCACACACCCCCAGCCTCCTTCCCCAGGGTCATGTCCTGGATAGGATCTTCTACTGCCTTCTGTCTTCACACAGACCCAGGGTCCCACCTGCTGTACCCTCTAACCTCCAGGGCCCAGGAATGGGGGACACAACCTACCCTCCCACTGCAGTGTATTGATGTCTGTGGCTTAATTTACAGTGTGTTGAGGGAAGAAGGAGAGGGTGGACCTTGGCCAGATTCGTGAGGTGGTATATGGGGTATATGTGTGTGCATCTTAGGGGTAACTCCCAGGTCAACTCTGTGTGCGTGTGTGCGTGTCTGTGTGTGTGTGTGTGTGTGTGTGTGTGTGTGAGAGAGAGAGAGAGAGAGAGAATATTACCCTTTCCACAGAGGGAAAACAGAGTTCTCCCTCTCTCCCAGCCCCACTCACCACCCCTACCCCTAACCTCCACCCATGCCTGGATCTCTTAAAAATGGGGGGAGAACAGAGATCTCAAACTGGAAAGGTGGTAGAGAGTCTATGCCTTGGTGTCCCCCCTTTTCCAGACCCTCCCTAAGTTTGAGCAGTTAGCTCCTGAGCAGGGCAGGAGAGCGGTGGCAAGGAGAGGGAGGGACCAGACAGATCCAGGTGGACAGAGACTGGATAAGGGGGTTTGGGGAAAGCTTGCTCCAGCGAGTTGACTTTTCGGTGACTCCTCCAGCTGCTGGGGATTTCTCTGTTAATCTGGGCCGGCTCTGTTTGCATCTCATTTGCCTATATTTGCATAACAAGGGTCTAGCTGGCACCGGAGATCAAAATTCCTAGCCTGAGTAATTGTGTGAAAAAGCCTCTGGAGAGGGAGCCGGTAATTTGGGGGCCAGGGAAACAGAGGCAGGGAGCTGGGTGCACTGGTGTGGCTGGTCCAGGTCCCCATTTAATCTGGGAGCCTCCATATCTTCCTTAATGCCAGGGCCAGAGGGGCGGGGATGTCAGTGGGAGTGCGATCGGAGGGGCAACAAGATTGAGTCAATCTCAAAGCTGGGCACAGAGCAGTCAGTCCCCTTGGGAGAAATGGCCTGAATTTGGTAAGAGCAGAACTGGGAGTAGGGGTGGGGAAGTTAACACTCAGCTAGTTCTGCCCCTCCTGTCAGCCCCCTGGCCCCTCAGCCCCTACCAGTCTAGTTAAGAGCTGAACTAGCCAGAGTGCCTGGGATGGTACCCTGGACCACCGCTTACCAGCTCCAATACTCTCAGACCTGGGCAATGGAGGCCCCTGCCCTCCCCTTCTACTTTGGACGACCCTCTTCTGCATGGGATGAAGAATTTCAAGGTCCGAAGGCCCACAGGGTTGTCCCCACCTGGTGCTCCAGCCCGCTGCTAGACCATACCCCGACACAGGACCCTAGAATTCCCTGCCCCCGGAGCCCTAAGCCAGCTGCCAAGGCCTGGGTGGCGTCTTCTCCACATCTGTCTCCTCAAGCCCGAAGGGTGGCTATTTACCAGGAACGTGGAACAAGCAGGGACTCTAGTGTTGGGGCATCCGCAGGCCTGCACGCGAAGCCCCTCACACTGCTGCCTGGAGCCCAGAGACGGAAGAGGAGGCGGGCGGGGGTGGAGGTCTAGGGGTCTCCTGTTATACTCTTGCCCTAGGCTTCGTAAACATTCAGGGTGGCTCTGAGAAGCTGTTTGATCTTGGGCAAGTTACTTAACCTCCCTACACTCCCAAGTGGGGTTAATAATAGTACTTGCCTCATGCAGCTGTTAGGAGGAAGAACTGAGTTAATTCATGTAAAGCACTTACAGCAGCGCCTGGCACAGAGTAAGGGCTTGTAAGTGTTCACTATTATTATCTATATTATCCCGGGATTTGGCTTTTTTTCCCTCCAGCTGCAAAAGAAGCACCTTTTCTTTCACTTTGAGAGACTGAGAAAGTAAGGGATGGGGACATCCCTTCCACTCCCCGCCCCCCCATCCCTCTGAGCCCAGACTCCCCCCTTGTTTCCTTCCCCAGCTACCATACCCCCAGGCCAGGATGCCAGGATGCCAGATGCTAGGAGGACAGCCAGGTCACTGGACTGAATATAATGGTTTGTTTAATGTCCTTATGGGCCGAATGAATGAGTGAACACTGGTTGAGTGAATGAATGAAAAACAAAAATCAAATGACTAATCGTCAAAAGAAGGCTGGATTCACTGACAGAAGGACAGAGCTACAGCAGATGTTTTGGCTTTGGGGGCCCACAGATCCGTTTCTGGTTTGCTTTCATTAGATGGTAGGAGGCAGAGGGGGGCTAGGGGCCTGGCCAGGCTTTCTGCAAAGTCAGCCCTGGCGTTGGTGAGTGGCTGCTGCCTGGGGACGGGGTAGCTGTACCTGTGGGTGCTAGAGGAGGTGCCTGACTGCGTCTGGGTCCTTCTGTGCCCTGTGGAAGCCTGAGTGTGTGGGAGTGGCTCTGTATGAATCCACGAATCTCTGTGCCTGTGCGTCCCTGCTCAGAAGTTCCTCCCTGCCCAACAACGAAAGGCCCTGGGGCAGGCACCATCCAGGTCTGGGGTGCGGGGTGTGGAGGGTGCTGGCGAGCTTCATTACCTCCTTATTTCCACCCCTGCCCCTCTCTGGCCGGGCCAGGCCTCAGCGCGCCCGCCTGTCAACTGGCGGGTTAGCAGTGATAGAGAGCTCTCCTGGGGCCCCGGCAGCCTCCACCATCTGGCCAGGCTGGTATTGAAGGAGATGGGGGGACCTGTCACAGGATGCCCCCTGGGCCCTCCAGCTTGGCACTGGGCTCATCGCAGAGAGTAATGGGCGTAGGGGCATGTGGGAGTGCAGGTGTGTGTGTGCGTATGTATGTGATTTCCTGTGTGGTGACACTGTCTGTGGGCGGCTAGGTTGACCGTGGGTAGAATTTTACGTTTGCATTCGTGACTGTCTATGTTTGTATGGCCACATGATTGGATCCTTGGGGGCTGGGGTTTCTGTGTATGACGACGTATGTCCCAGAATATGGGCAAAGCGTTTGGGTCTTGGCTCTGTAGCTTTTCCATTGGAAGTTCCCAGGCAGAGATGGGAGAGGGGAGGGTCAGGTCTGGTGCGGACAGGCGCAATGGCCTTGAGAGAAAGGTACCCATTCTTAGCTTTCAGTTCAGAGAAATTAACCTCCAGGTCCATTTCTTTAGAAACGATTCTCATTTCTCTTCCTCGACCTGGGTGGCCCAGTGGTGCTGAATCCCACTAGATGGGCTGGAAGTCCCTCTTGGGAAAACCAGGTGGGCCCTAGGAGTCCTAAACCCCTGTTTCCTAGAGGTGGGCCCCAGTTTCAGGTGCCATCAGAGCTCCCAGGCTCCCTGGGGAGCATCCCATGGGGACCCCCCTCACCTGCCGCAGCACAGAGGCAGGACACACGTAAAGCCACTCTCAAGTAGTGACACATGGCGACCCAGACATGAACACTGGCACAGGGTCACTTGTGAACCAGAAGCCCACATGACAGTCACAGATCCACTGGACACAAGCACATGTACATACACCCACGCGTACATTTTGACACACAAACATTCACACAGGCACACAGATGTAAGGTGCCTGCCTATTTACACACGAGAACACGCCCATGAGTTGCAAGGACACACATGCTTATTACATGCTTGCAGACATGCTTGCATGTGTGTGTGCACACACATTCTGTCCCTTCCCGCCCTTGTTCCATGCTCAGTCCGATTCCCTGCTGCAGCTCTCTTGTAGATGACCCTTTGCAAGGTGGGCATTAAAGGAGGGCCACATGTATAGGGGACTCCATGAGTAAATAGCTGTGTGTATCTACGTGTGCAAATTTGTACACGTCTCACTGTGTGTCTTGCAGTCTATGTGGCTCTAGCTCTGTGCAAAACACGCAAGTGTCCCTTTGCGGGTATTTTTCTGGATCTCTGCGTATTTCTGGCAGAACTTATGTGTACCTCTGTGTACACATTTTTGTGAGTGTGGATGACAGTAGGGGACTTGTGTATCATGTGCCTGCATCTTGTGGACCATCTCTCCACAGATGTATATCTGTATATGTCCGTGTGCGTGTTTGCATATATGTGCATTTCTCGTGTGTATATGGCTCTGGGGTCTGGAGTTCACAGGCTGGCTGGGCTGGCTCCCCTCCCTTCCGAAGCTGTGGCCTTGGGTGGGGCTGGGCAGGACTGCTCTGAATCCCTCAGCCATTGACAGTCGTATTTACAGAGCTCCGAGTAGGACGTAATTGGTTCTATTAATCTTTCTCTGGTTGTTAATTGCTCACTTATCGGGTTGTGTATTATGCCGACTGTTGCTCTTAATTCGCCTCCGTAGCTGCAGGTGTTTACTGCCTTATTAACTGTTAATCGGCACGGCTAGGGATGGAGACTTAATTGGCCCCCAGAGTGGGACACAAGCGGGCCAGCCGGGCACTGCCAGGCTCTCAGCCCGTCCCTGGAACCCTTACCTGTGGAGCGCAGGTGGCTACAAGGGAAGGAGTTGGCCCGCTGCCATCCGCAGGCAGACAGCAGTCTTGTATACAGTGGTCAGAGTGACAACTGTAGGGTATTAGCCCCCATGTAATCCTAACTCCTCCAGGAAGCCAAACAACCAATCAGAATCCAGCTCCTACACTCCCTCTCCAACACCAACAAACTTCATCTACCCAGGAGAGGAGCCAGCCTCATTTATCTTAATTATCCGAACCTAACTGAGAACTAAGAGACCAACACAGAGTGGAACTGGTTCTCCTCCTTTAACACCTCCTCTGCCTCCCCTCTGACCCTGGCAGTCAAGGCTGTTAAGGTCACAGAGACTCTGGGAGAAAGGAAGGCAAGAAGGCCAGAGGAGGAAAGGCTGAATATAGACCCGGGGAGGGCTTTCCAGCTTTCAAAGAGGCTATACGGAGCAACTAGTGTCCAAACGAGAACAAGAAATTCCAGAAGGAGATCTGCTGCTCCCTCCCAGCCATGCTCTCAGTCCTGCTCAGCCCCTGCTTTCAAAGCCCCAACAACAAGGAACTCACTACCTCCATGGCACGACTACACAACTACAGCAGTGAGGGTTCTTCACCCTGAACTGACCTCTGCCTTTTTTTTTTTTTTGCCCCATGTCTCAGCAGAGGAGTCCCAATTGTCCACAGTGGGGACCCTGAACCCCAGAAAGGGCAAGGGAGTGGCTCCAGGGTTTCCCAGTCCTCCCTTGTAAAGGCTCAGATGTTTGACTCTCCAAAGTTTCTGCCGTCAGCCTCTGGCCAGACCCTGATCCACCCTAGACATCTCAGTCCTATAAGGGACCTTCTTGGTCACCACCTCCCTAGCTCCAGTTTTTAAGCCTCTCAAACTCAGCTGCCACTGCTGCAGAGGTCCTGGGCTCCAGCACCTTTGAGACAGAAATGCAAGGTGTCTGGAAACAACTGGTCCCTGAGAGGGAAAGGCGTGTAAGGATGTGCATGAGTGTGTGGTGTTGGTGATGGGTGGGGGATAGGGGTCCCATGCTTCACTAACCTGGCCTCCAGCCTCCAAGGACAAACAGGCAAACCAGTAGTCCTCATCCTTTGCCTCGAATCCTGACATCTGGAAGTTCTTCCTGGTGTTTAGTTGTCAAGTCTTGAGCTGCAGAGGATGTTGATTTGCTTTGGTTGGGTCCTGAGAGGAGCTGGGCTCTATGGAAGGAGGGTGGAAACTACCATTAAGGGCTTGCTGTGTGCCAGAAGCAGCATAAGTGTATGTGAAAAGTGACATCTCATTGAAGAATCACATCACCTGATAAATTAGGGATTAAGACCCTATTTACAAAGAAAGAAACTGAGCCATAGAGAGGGGAACTAAACTTGCCCAAGGCCACACAGGCAGGAAAGGGCAGACTGGGATTCCAACCAGGGCCTGGCATTGCCCGGGGGTGCTGGTAAAGGTCTTTGGTCAAGAGTACCTGGATGAATTCATACTAATGGTTCGGTAAGGTGACCGGGGCCCAGAACCAGGAGTCAGCATTACAGTTCACCCACCCACCCGGATTCTGGGAACATTAACAAGAAAAACACTCCCGCATGCACTGCCCACGTGCCCTTCAGGCGGGATGAGAGAGGAAGCAAAGGGAACTGTCCAGGGATAGTTGCCCAAACAAGTTCCGGCCCCGCCTCTATGTTAATGACATGCAGATATATGTAAATTTGAAGACGCTACCGCTCAAACCTTTGGAAGAAATGGGATGACACAGGAGCAGTTGCTATGGAAACCCAAATGCGACCCCCCTCTCCCCCCTACCGCACAAGCGAGCGTACAGACACGTGCACAAAGACCCAGGGTTCCTCGCTCCATAGCCCAGAGGATCACAGTCTCGGAGGGTGTGAACCGGAAGAACCCTCAGAAACTGCGTCCAGCCTGAGGGAAGCTGAGACCCGGAGAAAGTCGCGAGAGAGCAGCTTCGTGGGGCGCCCTCCACTGAAGCCGAGGGGAGCTGGGTGGCCATTCCGGTCCCTGAGGACTCCTACTCGGGCCTAGCAACGTGAGCCCCGCCCAGCGTTGCTCAGCAACGTCCCTTGAGCCCAGCAACCGCCGACCACGCCCCCTAGCAACAGCTAGCCTAATCCTTGCTCCTGGCCGCCTCGGCCAAAAGAAGGGCGAGGGAAGGGGCTTGTGGACTAGGGCCAAAACGTGGGTGGAGGTCGTGTTGTCCGGTCCCCGGCCTCAAAGCAGCCTGCAGGATTTCGCTGTCCACCTCTAGCCCTCTTCGCTGGGTGAGGTGCTATAGGGCCGCGTCACCATGCCCATTTGCAGGGGGCGAAACTGACTCTCCGAAAGGAAGTTCCAGCCGACAGTCCAGAGGTTATTCTTCCCTGAGTGACCTGAGAAGGCAGCAAATGCTCTCCTGTCCCCCTGGAAGGAAGCCGTGGGCCTGGGGGGAAGGAGTTCACAGCCATCTTCCCCTTGACCTGCCCCAACTGTGTTAGGAAGATGACCCAAGTTCCCGACTCAGAATCAAGCTGCAGGTTGCATAGTAATTTGTGTCATTTACATATAGCCCGGAGGCTGTGGCGCTCACAAGCCCGTCGGAGCCCGTAAAGTTACCGAAGGAGCCCCGCCCCCTCCCCCGGTTCACAAGTCAGGGCGCCGCGCCGCGCTCCGCCCCCCCCGGCCCCCGCCCGCCCCCCCCCCCCCCCCCCCCCCCGCCCCGCACCCTCTTCCAGTCCCTCCGGCTAAAATTCCATACCTCGCCCCGCCCCCAGCTCGTCCTCCGGTCCGGCTAGCCCCGACCTCCATCCCTAGGCCGAGGGCCCCCTCTGCTGTCGGCCGCGGGTAGGGCAGCAGCGAGCTCATGGGGCCAGAGAAGAGGGGAGCCCCGAACAACCAACGCCCCCATCCTTCCCAGTCCAGCCCGGCCCTGAGCGAGGCTGATGCATAACTAGACTTTCAGAGGGATGGACGGGGTACACCCCGTAAGGACTGGGGAAGGCGTCGAGGAGGACGGAGGGGTCCTCCCAGAAGTTCTCTCCCCAAAGCCAGGCCCTGCCTCTTTGCACTGGGCTAAGCAGCCAGAGGGCAGCTAGTTTCCAGATAGGTCCCCAGACTCCGTTCTCCCAGAGATGCGTTACAATTGTAGCTGCTGTTAGCTCATTCCAGGCCCCAGGCAAAGCAGCACCATCCAGCCCTCACACCAGCTTCCAACCCCACCCTGAATGCCCAACCCCCTCCACTCCCAGGCCAAGACCCTCTTTCTCCTGTACCAGTCTGGAGGGGGGTTGGCAAGAGGCACAGAGAAGAGTCATCCTATACGGATCTCCCAACTTACCCAACAGAGACACACAGACATGCAATCAGACATACATACACGCAGGTGCACCCACATGCTCACAGGCACATGCACACATAGAGACACTCACAGATGCACACAGACACAGACACATGGGGAATATGATGGTACCCGACTACCCAAATGAAAAAAAATCCTGGTAACTGAAAAAAAAAAATTTTTTTTTTTTGGTAACTACAAAATTTACATTGCAACCTTCTCTCCTTTTTCTTCCTATCTCTAAATGCCTATGCCCCTTCAAAAGCCTCATTTCTCTCTCCCCCATCCTAGTCCTGCCTTCTCTCCCATCACTTCTTCCTCCTAGTTTGGAATACTTCCCAGAACCCACCATGGCAACAGCTGTGCCCAGGGGCACAGTGATGGTTCAGGATCTCAAGACAAGCAGCTGATAAGGCTGCCCTCTCCCTCCCCAGCACTTTAGCTCTGCTACATCTGTGTACAGAAACTCAGACACACCTGCCCCGACCCACACCAGGTCAGGCCCAGGGTCCCTCCTGACCAGCCAGAAGATGCAATCTGACCTTTGCCAAACTCTTTATTGAACCAAAAATCAACACCAAGCGGACTGCAGAACAGAAAACTCCAAACAGCTGACCCTCCCTTTCTCCTGCCCCTCTCTCCCTGGAACAGCTCTGGATTCAGCACTGGGGAAGGAATCAAAGACTCTCTTCTGGTGGGTAATGAGGGTCAGGTCTCTCTGGGGAAGGAACACTCAGAGCCAGCTCCATCTGTAGGACCCAAAGAGTCAGGAGCTGGGCTTCGGGGCTCTGGAGCTGCAGGGGGCTGACCGAGTAGACCGAGAATTCCAGGGGCTGCAGGGGACAGGGCAGGAGTTGGGGGAAGGATCTCCTGGCCTGGGGACCTCAGTGAGGCTTGGAGCTGACGGCTCATGGACACCAGGGATTCAAGATGTTGGAGCAGGGCCTGGTGGGGACAGGAGGCTCTGTGGAGGCTCCGGCCATGGCCAGATGGTACTGCTGAATAGGGGTGCCTGGATTGGCACCGGCCTGGCTTGGGGGGCCACTGCCCTCGCCCAGGACTCTGCCAGGTCTCAGGCTCTTCCCACAGTCTCCCCCTGCCTCTGGGTGGCCTCTCCCAAGCACAAATTCCCCTTGGAGCCAGGCTGCTATTGCCCTGGTTCTGCTGCAGAGTATCCCTTGGGGGATGGGACCCCTTTGGGGCCACATCGGGACTCCTGTGCTCGGACTGGTAGCATCTCATCTCCACTTTCCTGTTGAAGGAGACCATCTTTTGAACCTTCTGCCACAGAGGTCTGGACTCTGCTGTGTCTGGAAGCCCTGCCTTGGGGAGCAGCACAGCCAGCACCAGGCTTGAGTGAGCAGCTTCCAGGCCTGGGGAAAGAGGAAGCAGAGAGACTCAAGACCTGGTAGGAGAGAACACACCATCCCTAGAAGCTGCATTGTGAGTGCAGCAGTAGGTCTATGGTTAGGTGCCAGGAAGAGCTTTCCAGCAGCAAGATGGGGGTCCAGTGAGGAGGAGGCTGAGCCCGTCTCAGGAGAGTCACTTTCAGCACGGCAAAGGGCTCACCTGCCTGAGAGTGGGGCAATGAATGGTTTGACCTCAAGACTGTATGGATTCAGAATCTACCACACTGTCACCAGGAAAGGCAGCCCAGAAAGGCCAAGTGCTCTGCCTGGGAATGGGTACAGGGTACCCATTGACACCCCACCCCCACCCGAGGTGCTTTACTGGAGCCATGCCCTGGAGATACCCTCCTGGGCACAAAGGCCAACCTTGGCCTAGGGTAGTGGTGGTGAAAACATCCCTCCTTCCAGTCTTAGGTGATGTTTTGGTGGTGAAAACATCCTTCCTTCCTGTCCTTAGACGATGCTTTCAGTCGATTGTTTGTGGGTCCTGCCTCTGTCCCGCTGTGTCTGCATGAAAGTGGCTGTCCCATGAGTTTCTATTCAGGACGCCTAGTTGAAGGGTCAGTATGCGTTGTGTTCAAGAGCCCTGTTTCTGCAGCCAGGCTGCCTGGGTGTGAAGCCTGGCTCTGCTCCTGACTGGCTGAGTGACTCTGGACAAGTCATTTGCTTTCTCCCTACCTCAGTTTCCTCAGGTGTGAAATCAAGAAACTGACAGTTACCGTTCTGATGGGGTTATTTTGAGGACTAAATGAACTAGTGTAAGTAAAGCTTTTAGAACACTGTCTGCCACACAGTAAGCAATATATACCTATCATTGTTGCCCCGCGTGCCCGTCTCAAGAGTTCCCTTCTGAGATGTGCCCTGCCTCCATGGCCACAGAGGTGACTGTCAACAATGCCCCATCTGGTCCCAGATGAGGGGAGGCAGGGACCGGCACGGGCATCAGGGCACTCACCGGGGCCTCCCAGAGAGCGCAGTCTGGTGGGCAGGGGCTGAAAGGCAGGCAAGGGCAGCAGGACCATCCCCACGTGTTCCACGGCTGCCAGGCCATGGCGCTGCTTATTGTTGAGGTAGGAGTAGAGCAGGCGGCAGTTCTGGGTGTCCCGAGCCCCGTGTGGGCACAGCCTGACCACACAGATGTCCTGTAGTTGAAGGAAGGGGAGTAGCTTTTGCAGCTGCCATCTTCCAAGCCCCTGAGAACCCTGTGAGGATGTGTGTCCCCACTTTGCAGAGGAGGAACCAGAGAGACTTGCCCAGGGTCACAGAGCGTCTACAGTCATAGTGGGAACTAGACCCAGACACCCCGAACCAGGCCCCTGCCCTAGAGGAGGAGAGAGGGGAAGCACAGGGCTAAAGGTCCCGGGCCAGAAGGCAAGGGGGTGCCCAAGGATGGCAGTTACCTTGGCCTCGGCTGGGCAGATGTTGGCCAAAAGATCCCAGACAGTATTGGAGGGAATGCA